GAAAGGAAAGGAAAGGAAAGGAAAGGAAAGGAAAGGAAAGGAAAGGAAAGGAAAGGAAAGGAAAGGAAAGGACCCCTAAAAATAGATAAAATCTCAACTGTAATATATAGGGAATAAATTTGTTCTGAATTGGGAATAATTCAGTTGTTGAAATTCTTGTAATATTATTCCTTTTATCTCAGTAAATCTTGTTAAATCTTGCCTGGAATACTTTCAGTATGCCCAGATCTTTCAGTGATCCTAGCTACAGTGAATTCTAAAGTACAGGTAGTCCTCACTTAATGATTGCCATGTTTAGCAACCATTTGAATTTACGACAGCACTGAAAAAATAAATTTATCACCGGTTCTTGCATTTACGACGGTCGCGGCATCCCCACAGTCAGGCAATCAAGATTTGAGTGCTTCGCAACTGGTGGGCGTTTATGCTTGTTGTAGCATCCTGTGGTCACATGATCACCATTAGTGCACTTCACAGCTGGCTTTTAACAAGCAGAATCAATGGAGAAGCCGGCAGTAAAATCACAAGTCGCAGTCACGGGATGGCTCACTTAAGAACCGCGGGTGATTCACTTAATAACTGCAGCAGAAGTGAGGTTGTAAGTCCGTTGTGGTCACATGAAGTCTCGCTTAATGACTGCGCCACTTAGCGATGGAGTTGCTGGTCCCAGTTGTGGTTATTGAGGACTACCTATATCTGTATCATTGGGGCACATCTTTGTAAAAATAGTTAAACTGTATAGTATTTCACACAAACAACATTACACTCTTGTTTTGATCTGCAGACTGGGACATAAGGAAATCTTTTGGCTGAGCCGATTGAAGTCCTTGGTATAGAAATGATATATTCAAAGAGACATTTTCAGGGATCATTTGGGATTGTTGGAGTTGTACTAGCCTCCCTGCTGCATAGCAACCTCCCTGCCTGAGCTCCTTGACTCCATCTCAGGGTTGGCAGTGGGGTTCGCCAGACTTATGGTTCTGGGGACTTCAATCTGCCTTCTCTGGGTGGAGTCTGAGGTGGCTTGGGAGTTTTATGGCCACCATGACGGCCATGGGGCTATCCAGGTCATCCAGAGCCTGACTTGGGACAGTGGTCACACTCCAGATTTGATTTTCCTGTCAGAGCAGTGGCTATGTGCCTGAAATTGGGGGAGCTGTTGGTGTCTTCCTTGTCATGGTCAGATCATGCCCTGATTTCCATGGGATTCTCTAGCGCCACTATCCACTGCAGGGAAGCTGGATCCATTAGATTGTTTCGCTCCCAGCTACTGATGGACCTGGATGGGTTTCAGAGGCAACTGGGGATTCTTCCTGTTGGTCTGCTTAAGAGTCCATCAGAAGCCTTGGTTGCTGCTTGGAATAAAGGGGCAGCTAAGGCATTGGATCGGATCATGCCCATGCGACCTCTCCCCTCCCATGGATCCTGTCACTCTCCATGGTTTATGGAAGAGCTGAAGGAGATGAAACGAGAGAGAAAAAATCAAAGCATTGCTGGCACTCAACCAAGGATGAGCTCAACGGGACACGGATTAGAGCTGCTATTAAGGCCTACCTTCTGGCAGTAAGGGTGGTGAACCGACAATATTTCTCCACCCTTATTGCATCTGCAGATTGCTGTCCTGCAGCCCTGTTTCAGGTGACACAAGCCCTTTTGGGAAAAGCGGCCCCAGAGGACCTTTTGCAGGGGTGTGTGGAGGAATTTGCTCAGCACCTGTCAGATAAAATCACCTGGATTCTTGGACGCCGATCTTGTTGCAGGTCCAGAGGAGATGCCTGAGGTGGAGTCTGACTTGATTATCTGGGAATGGTCTGAACCTGTTGGACCTGAGAAAGTAGATAGGGTCCTTCGAACTGTGAGCTCAGCCACCTGCTCTCTAGATCCATGTCTCTCCTGGCTTGTGAAAGTGGTCAGGAGGGTGTTGTGTGAGTAGGGTCTCGTGGTGGTTAATCCTTCTTTGAGGGAGGGGAACAGGTAAGAGGTAATCCTTCTTTACCTCTTAAGGAGGCCATTGCTGGATCCCACCATACTGGACAATTTTCATCTAGAATCTAACTTCCTTTTTTGGGAAAGGTGATTGAGAAGGTGGTTGCTTCAGACAATAGCTTCAGAGGACCCTGGATGAAACGGATTATCTGGATCCTTTTCAGTCAGGATTCAGACTCAGGTATGGGACAGAAACAGCATTGGTCACACTTTTGGATGATCTCTCATGTGGGTGGGATGGAGGTTGTGCATCCATCCTTGCCCTACTTGACCTCTTGGTGGCTTTCAATACCATCGACCATGGTACCCATCTGGATCGGCTCAGGGGACTGGGGGTGGGGAGCACGGTGCTGTGCTCGTTTGCCTCCTTTCTCTGGGGTTGATTCCAGGGGCTGGATGGGATGGCACTGTCCCAGACAGACCAAGTGCATAATCTGTGGTTCCTCCTAGACTCACAACTCTTGCTCGAAGAGCAGATAGCAGTTGTGGCTAGGAGGGCCTTCGTGTTGTACGCCAGTCGTGCCCCTTCCTGGATCAGGAGGCTCTGCTCACAGTCAGTCATGCCCTAGTCACCTCCAGATTGAACTACTGTAATGCACTCTACATGGTGCTGCCCTTGAAGAGTATCTGGAAGCTTCAACTGGTTCAGAATGTGGCAGCGTGGGCAGTTATATGTGCTCCTAGAAGAGCATATATTACACCTCTGCTTTACAAGCTGCATTGGGCTGCTAGTTTGCCTCTGGGTCCAATTGAAGGTGCTAGTTTTGACCTTAAAAGCCCTTCATGGCATGGGGCCAGGTTATCTGAGGGACCGCCTTTCCCTGATTACATCAGCCCATCCCATTAGGTCTGGCAGGGAAGGTATGTTACGGGTTCCATCGGTCAGGGACTTGTATTTGGTGAGTCCCAGAAGGTGGGCCTTCTCTCCTTGTGGAGAGCTCTTCCTCCTTGTGGAACCTTCTCCCTCCTGAAGATAGGTTTGCTCCTTCCCTGCTATTGTTTAGGGAGTTCCTCAAGACCTGGTTATATCATCAGGCCTGGGAGTCTTTGGGAACCGGAGACATTCTCAGGTGGCTCCACTATGATTGATATTCTGCTCTCTACATGGCATTTATATATTTTAAAATTTTTGATAAATTTTATTTTAATAATTACTTTTTATCTTTTTATAATGATTGTTTTTTTATCTATTTGCTGTTTTATTTAATTGTTGTACACTGCTCAGAGTCACTTTGTCTGAGATGGGCGGCTATATAAATGTTACTAATGAACAAATAAAATAAATAAATTATAATTACAAGTTTCATTTTTATACTGTGTAAAAGTATTTAAAAAGAATGTAGAATGCTTACATTCAGAAATACTCTGAGATGGATATCATATTAACTAGATTCCTATAAATGCTGAGTCAAAATATGGTTTGCTTGTTTTGGCTTAGCATGTTGTGTGACCCCATCATATGGTTTATGGCATACATGTTCCATAAATTCAGCCAAGCTTTTTCATAAACTGTGATTAAGGAAACTATGGCTTGGTATGTTGGCAAACTCAGCCATAGAAATGGAATATATATTTAGCCAAAATACAATATCCATTCAATTATCAAGGCAATTTCTCCCCTGTCTTTTCTTGCAGCCTAAGTATTTAATGTCAAATCTGCTGAAATGCTAGGTGAAAACATCCTGCATATTCTTCTAACTATATTTATGAAATTGGGAGAACCCATAGTCTTATATACTCCTTCATCCTATTCTTTCCATGCAACTTCTGCCTCCCCTTTCATTTTTGAAACTAATACAGGTAGTCCTTGCTTAACAACCATTCGTTTAGCAACCATTCAAAATTATAGCGGCACTGAAAAAGTGGACTTACAACCCATGCCCGAAGAGGTCATAAGTCCATCTGGATGCTTGGCAGCCTGTCCGCACTTACAACCTCAGGGGCACTGCAACTTCTCCCAGATGCCTATCTCCCCCCGATCTATGCCCCTTTGACTGCCCTGCATAGTGGCACGCAGTAGTGACAGCGCCGGAGCTAGGGCTGAAGTAGAGGCCTGAGGCCTTTAGCAGTCTTAGTCAGCTGCCACCACCCCCAGGACTTGACTTCAGCCCCAGTGCCACGGCTTCCACTGAGAAATGCTGCCTCAAGCCCCACACTGCTAGCCTTTGCTGTCTTGCGCTGTTCTCCAAACCGTGCTTCTTGTTCCTTCCCCAAGCTGGTGCCTCCTGTTCCTTCTGCAAGCTGCATGTCCCATACCTTCTGCAAGCTAGCATCCCATTCTCACTATCCTTCAGAAACCTGGTCTTCCCCAAGTCTTGCGAGAATGGGACGCACACCATTCCTTCTCTGCTAAGGTTTCCAAAGGATTGCGAGAATGGGATGGCAGCTTGCAGAAGGAACAAGAGGCACCAGCTTGGGGAAGGAACAAGAGACGCTGGCTTGGGGAAGGAATGGGATGCTGGCTTGCAGAAGGAATAAGAGGTCCCAGCTTAGGGAAGGAACAAGAGATGCTGGCGTGGGGAAGGAATGGGATGCTGGCTTGCAGAAGGAACAAGAGGTGCCAGCTTGGGGAAGGAACAAGAGGCGCAGTTTGGAGAACAGCACAAGGTGGCGAAGGCCAGCAGGAGAATGGTGTGAGGCAGCTGAAGGAGAATGGTGTGAGGCAGTGAAGGCCAGTGGTGTGGGGCTTGAGGTGGCATTTCTCAGTGGCATGAGCAGTGCTGGGGCTGAAGTTGAGGCCTGGGGTTGGTGGTAACTGGCTGAGACTGCTGCAGGCTTTGGGCCTCTACTTCAGCCCCAGCCCAGCAGTGCTGCTGATGAGTGCCACTGTGCAAGGTGGCCAGAAGGGGGGAGAGATAGGCAGATGGGGGAGTTGCAGTGCCCCTGCAGTCGTAAGTGCTGCTGGGCCGGGGCTGGGGTGGCTGAGATTTCCAAGGGCGGCTACGGTTTTGTGCAACATTGCAGTACCCCCACAACTCATGTGTGGCCTGGGCTGGGCCTCCCAGAACCTCCCCCACCCCCCTAAGGCACCCCTGCACTCTTTAGCTGGGCCTCCATCCACTTAATGATCCACAATTCTTGCTTAATGATGGCAGTCAGGAGTGCAGGGATTACAGTCTCTAAGTAAAGTGGTCACGTGATGATTCGCTTAACAACTGCATTGCTTAGAAACCTAATTCTGGTCCCAGTTGTGTTTGTTAAGCGAGGACTACCTGCAGTGGAACAGAGTTATAGCAATGTTAACTAGTCAGCTTAGCTCCTAATTTTATGTATCTATTTTAAGGTATCTACTCACTATAAATTAATTATAGGCATACTATCCAGGCTGCAAAAAAAACTAGACAAATACAGTTTGGGAGTAAAGACATAGAACAGGGGTCGGGAACCTATGGCTCGCAAGCCAGTTGTGGCTCTTTTGATGGCTGCATCTGGCTCGCTGCCAAATCTTTAATAAAAAAAATAACGGGGTAAGGCTTAGAACACGTCTTCTATCCGCTGAGCGCAGGCCACGCCCTCCGCCGCATCGCATCCACATCCGGCATCCTTGGGACTCACCCTACCTTGCCCCGCAGCATCTGCGGCCGAACGGGCCTGGAGCTGCATCGTCCTCCACAGGCAGCCG